TGACAGGACAAATACCAATTAATAATTTTGAGAGCATTGAAGGTAGTCATGGAGATATTTATCAAATGAGAGCATTGAAGTTTTAAGCCTACAAACTTTTGGGGCGAGCTCAGCTTGCAAGCATGTGCTAAATGTGAGCCCTTGTAAGCAAAACCAGTCCCCTGCTTGCAGTGGCGGAGCTACCACAAAAAAACTGGACGGGCCAGATAGGATAAACTGTGCTACGATATTAAAAATCAACACATTATTACAGATTAGACTTCATATACAACAGTTTTTGCTCTAAACCTGGGCGGGCCACGGCCCTTTTAGCCTTGCCCTGGCTTGCCTCTATCTTTTTCCTACCCAACCCAAGACCAAAACTTTGAAAGACCCGAACTGAGGCCTCATTCGGTTTGGAGGAAACCAAAATATAAAAATTAGGAGTAATATAGGAATTTGATAGGATGGCACTTGCCATCCTAAGAAATTGTCTTGCCTCGTTCCTATGCATAAAATGAGCTTTAAGTGGATGTGCAGATTCCTCCAAAAACATAGGAAATGAATAGTATTTTTATGAAATTCCCGTACGCGTTTCCTACGAACCGAATGCATTTATAGGAAATTTTCCTAAAGAATCCTTATTCCTACGTTTTTCCTATAGAAATCCTACAAACCGAATGAGGCCTGAAACATTGGTAATGCTCAATCGGCAGTGCCAAGACACTGGAAAGCTATGGAGCTCCAATTGAGCCGTAGGGAAGGGATGCCATCTCAAGTACTCCGACTAAAGTAACGTGGCCTTGTCCTCCAAACCCAGATCAAACGCAACAGAGGCACTCACAGATGCTCATGGATTTGCAAGAAAATAATACACACAAAGGGGGAGGACATTCCACAGTAGAAAAAGAAGTAGCATCTGCGGGGAACGAAATTAGTAGTAGTAGGGTGAGGGGAGGAGAGAGAGTACAAGAAGGCGCTGTAGTTGGAGTAGCCGAAGCCGGAGACCATGGAGAAGGTAGACGCGGCGGCGCAGACGCACTGCGACAGCCGCAGCGCCATGCCGCTCCATGTCCCTGGGCTCCAGTGGCGGAGACAGGGGGGGACCAGCATGGGCCCTGGCCCCCCCTAACATCCCTCATTTAAGCCTAATATGCATGTGAGCTGTTGGCGCCGCCTCTCGCAGCGCCGCTCCTCTTCTTCCTTGCACCACATCGCACAGCTTTGCAGCATCTCGTCACCATCAGCATCTCGCTGTACTCGCCGTATCGCACGACGCTATGGCATCTCGCCTTCTCCGCACATCTCCGTTGAAGCTTCGTCGACTAGCTACTCCCTAATCTATGCTACATGCATTACGAAAACTAAATATGCAGATACATCAATCAAGATTAACTCTAACATTTTCCCCCTTAATCTTGATTCTCCAATCAACACAATCTTCAACGTGGATGACCCGTTGCCACTTGACGACGCCATCGTAGCGCCGCAGCCACTTGCCGTTGTCGACGCCGTCGCAGCGCCGGTCACCATGGACAACTTATTGTGGATGATGTCCTCGCAACGCCAATCACCACACCATCAAAATCTTGCGGCATCGAACCACAACATTGGCTTCGCACCAACTCTCCATGATGACGATGGCATCGCACCACCGTCGTCGGCATCACACCGACTCGAGTGACGGCATCGCGCTGTCGTACATCTTCTTAGCAGTGTCGCACCGCGTCTCCTTGTGACGGCATCAGACCATCATCGTGGAAGCATCGCACCGCCGTCTCCTCCTAGCGGCATCACACCGCAACCGGCCAACAGTGGCATCTCGCCGCCGACGGCCTCCACCTCACGCCGACGTCCTCCACCTCACATGGAGTCCACCGGATCGCCGTCGTCATCGCCTCGGATCGACTAGGCTCTGAATACCAATTGATGCCGAGTGCCGTGTGAAGCGGCTGCACAAGATCTGAAGGCAACAACCAGCAAAAATGTTAGCCGAGTGAGTCGGTGAGTCAAGTAGTTACGGGTGCTGCAGCTAGTTAGCCTCGTGCATGTAGGAGATTAGCCGCATGAAGTTTGTTGGTTAGTGAGCTAGCTAAAAGGTAGGATAGTTGATTGCATGGACTGAGCCGTGCATGCTAGTTGAGATAGTTTGTTAGTAGAGGCCGGCCGCTCAAGTCAGTAGCCAAGTCATCCCTAGAGTGATTCTAGAAAGTTAAGTGATGGACGTGTGTTAACGTGTGTTTGTGGGTTAGTGGGCGTGTCTAACCCCTTGTGTATATATACCTGCATTGAGTTAATGAAAAAGGTTAAGGCCAAGAGGGCTGCTGGAGAAACAATGTAGCCACCATGTGATCACCAAGGGAGCATCTTGGCAAAGCTTGTGTGTTCTTCCTTGGTGCGTGTGTGTGTGGGTGTGTGTTCTTGTTTTCTTGTGAGAAGAAGAGAGAAACCTCAAGAGAGTTGTGTGAGGTAGAAGAAGGAGGCGGCACCGCGAGGAGGCGGCGCCAACATGAGCAAGTAATTATCTGCTGTTAAAATGGTGTACCTTGATGTGCTGGCCTTCCCTAACAAAGCTTAATAGCTTTCGGCCCTCCTCATTTCATTTTCCTGGCTCCACCACTGCTGGGCTCCCCACTACACGCTTCATTCCCTGCTCTGCCTGCCTGGGCTCTGCTATGCTGGCTGCGGAGAGGTGAGGCGGAGACGCCGATGGAGTCCAGGCTAGCCGGCAGGGCAGGATCTGTGGCAGTTGCTGTGTGCGCTTAGCTCGTGTGGGGAGGGATGGGAAAGGTGATGGCTATGAGCGGGAGGTGGCGGTGGCAAATTTGACCTATAGACGAAATTAAATCACAGAATGAACTGTACGTGAAACTATTTCACGCGGCTGACCCGTGGCGCCTAGCTCTCAGGCGCTGCACTAGTGCAACGCCTAAGAGATAGGCGCTACACTGTATAGTGTAGCGCCTAGCTCTCAGGCGCTGCACACGACTTAGTAATTTTCTGATTACACGTGTGCGACGCTGGCCGTGTAGCGCCTAGCTGTGAGGCGTTGCACAGTGTAGTGTGGCGCCTTCGTGTCTGGCGTCACACAAAAAGGTCAGCCGCGTGAAATAGTTTCATGGATAGTTCATTCTATGATTTGATTCCGGTCAAATTTGTCAAATTTGCCGGTGGCGGTAGACCACATGGGAAAGGTTTTCGAGATACGAATGGAACGCAAGTACTAATAACTGAACTGAGTAACCACATCGTGGTTTGTTACCTTTACTCCTCGTCCCAACCTATCCCTTGGTAGTCTTTTTATTACTAGATGACCCGTTGCGCCAATGGCGTAAAGGCCGAGTGCAAGCCAAATATTGAAAGAGTGTGCATTAAAATATGCAGACACAGAACGAAACATATGAAAATAAGTACGGATTGATGATAGATAGATGGTTCATGATGATACATGTTTTCTAAGACGCAAAAAACTGATCCAAACCACGAGTTATCTGCAAACAAATTTTTAAAATAGTTTGACACGTCTAAGTCATACTCCATGCAATATCTCGGAGTCGTGTGTTATTTACAAACTCTAGTAAAAGATTAATGAATTTCAGAATTTCATATCACCGGCTTACAGTTCAAACCCAAACTCATGGCATATTTGAATTCAAATCTAAAAAAGGGCCCTTCTGAAAAGTCTTGGACATTTTCACAGTTATATTATATAAGTAGTAGCATATGTGAAATTTTCCAAGATATTACTGATGAGTTTTGAGCCATGAAATTAATTCCGAGTAGATTATGAGGGAGTAAAGGAGGATTAGATATTCCAGCCATTTTCATTTTTTTATTTTTATTTATTTTTCTTTCAACCTCTCCCTTTGCTACTGACCAATGGGTCCTTCTGGCGAACCCGCCAGTCAGGCTGGCAGCGCCAACTCGCGGGACACGCGCCCGCTACTCCATGCCCCTTCACGTTTTACCCCTACTCCACTTCACTACCTCCCTCCTCAATCCATTTCCTCTTCCTCCTGGATCCTCCTTCTGGTCGACCCCGTCGGGGACGCCGCTGCTCACAGCTGCAACTCCAGCCGTAGGAACAGGCGGGATCCACCAGCCCTCTGTCCGACTTGACGTCCACGCTCAGGGTCCAACATGCAGGCCCGCTGGACGCCGCCGTGAATCGCCTTATTTTTTTAGTGAGTCCTTGATCCTAGGTAGTTTCCCTAACTCTGTTGAGCTCCGGCTGTCATTCTGATTCGATTCCTGGACACCAAGCATGCATCAAACTTTTGGACCGAGGTCGCCTTCCTCTGTTCCGTCAGCTGTCGTTGTGACGCCACCCGTGTAACCTCTGGACCAAGGATTCGAAGCCACGGGTCTCTCGTACTTCTTGCTCGACATTGACTGCCATTGCTGCCGTCCTGAATTCGCTGTCATCTGTCCCCGTGCCGTCCGGCCTCGCCACGAACAGCAGGGTGAGAAGCCGCCACTGCCTTCTCGTGCCTTCTTTTCTTTGTCAGCGTCGTTTTTTCTCATTCAAGCCGTCGCTGGAGAAGGTTGTGGCGACGCCTCCTGACACCACTTTGGTCCGGGCCAACATGGTTAGGCCAGGAGCTTGTTGTTGCTCGCTTTTGCTGCTTACTGCTGCTTGCCGCTGCTACTTCTGCTGTTTGCTGTTGCTGTTTGTTGGCTGCTCGCTATTGCTCTGCTTGCTGCTGCTCGTGGGCTGCATGTACTTGAGAGAAAGAGAGAGCCTTTTGCTATACAGAGTAGGAGTAGTATACTGTTCATCAATCCAACAGTTTGCTTGTGTGCTTTCCTGGGTGATTTGATCTACCAAGTTCAGAAATAAACATATTATGCTAAGTCAAGTTGTCGCTGAGTATGAAAATCACAAAAAAAAAAATGCTCAACCTGCTGAATTTGTAAAATCCATAAAAAAATATAATCATTCCAGTTCTGTTTGGAGTAGCTCTGCTATGGAGTTGGGATGGTTTAACTTGTACTGTGGCTATAGAAATGAGCATATCCAGTATTCCTTTAGAAATAAAAGATGATGTACTCTAAAAAAATAAATGTATTTAAAACTTTAAAAGCATATTTAACTTGTACTGGTGAATAAGTGCTTTAAGCTCATCCAACTTAGTTTTGAAAATGAACACATCCCTCTCATGACATAATTTCATACATCATATTTATGCAGAAATAGCTAATTCAATTCTCTGGTACACAATAGTTAAAAAATAGGAACTGCTAGTACATCATACATATGCGTAGTATATCAAAAAGCATGGCTAGAGTTCTTTTGTTATTAAATGCTCCCTCTTGTGAGTTTAATAGCAGCTTAGGATAAAATCCTGGATCGCTAGAGTTCTTTTGTTAATAGTAGTTTTGGTAGAAAATAAAAGCTCCGGCTAGCACCAAGTCATAAACTGACAGTAGATAACTCCAAGAAGAAGTAGGTTATCAGTCCGTCCTGGATTCTTCTCATAAACAATGCTACCATGCTCTGAAGCTTCTTTGTACTTTACCGATCTATACTTCTGGTGGAGAAATGCAAAGTGCCTCTCTTCATTACCAGCTACAGCCGCTCCTTCAGCTTCAGCCATGGAAATGGCAGCCCAAACAAACAAACCCTAAGTAATACTAAGAAATTGGTTAGGAATAATATAACGTACATATAAAATAACCAAGAGACACGGAAATTCATATACAGATTTTATTTGATAATAGTTCTTTATCTAAGAAGATAAAGAATTCCATGTAACCACATTTCCTACCACCATATGACAGATTATGGTGCCATTTTTATAATCAACAACCTTCTTAACTAATGGTCTACAAAAAATCAGCTAGACAGTAAGCATCACAGAATTTTCAATAGCACAGAGAAATACCAAATGAGTGGACTCATCCAAGAAACAAACATTTAAGAAGTCACAAAAAGAAAAAAAAATTAACTGCTATTTTTCTTGGTACTCCAGAGGAAAAAGCCATTAATAGAAGTGTCAGACAAGACTACCAGGTAGATAATAAGAGCAGCAGCACACAGGAACTTGTTAATCCGGAGGATATTATCCATTGGCATATTTCCACATAAAGCAGATACCTGAAGCTGAAGATGGCAAAAATGGACAACAAATGCAACAGTGTCCATCACAAGAAAACAACACATCAGATTAGTAATGAGCATACATAACTGGATAAGAAATATATGGTTCATTATGTGCACAGTTCTTTCAATAAAAAAAAATCCCATATAGTATCAACATTAGCTGACTAAAATCACAAGCATCATCTCTGTTGCAAGCAGTTTTTATTTTACGAAAAGATCAAGTGTAGTATCATGTTCCTAAATATACAGAAAAGCACAAGGATTGAGGGCAGTAATGTATCAGTTCTCATCTGCCACATAAATTCAGTAAAACGAATTGTAGGCATCAACATCGTATCTAAAATCCAGCATGGCAAAATGTAAACGAAATGCACCCGTTTCTATCACAGGAAATGCAAACAAAATGCACCACGGACAATGCTAATATCCATCTCTTTTAGTGGGGCAAAATACTGTAATTGAACTTTTGATGGTACAAACTGTTATCTTCCATTTGCTTAGCATTGCATCTCACCACAATTTAGGGATTGTAACTATGGAGTAAGAGTTTATGTTACTATGGTAGCATGACTAAGGAAAAATGTGTTCCCTCTTTAAGGATACAGAACCAAATTGCAGAGCTCACCTAATTTTCCAAATAGGTGAGGTGATGGTAAGAATTTTTTACATAAACAAAAAATTGGACAGGAGCGCCGCAGGAGGAGGCGTCCCTCGGCAACCCGGATGAGAGCACGCACAACGGACGGATGATCCAGAGGGTTGAGGGCTTGAGGCCACCGAAATACCTGGTGC